ATATTGGCGAAGTTACGATACAATAAAGTTTTAAGTATAATTCTGGTTAAAATTATGTTAATTTTTGGCCGGAATTATGATATACAAATATAAGAAATTTTTTATATAGTCACATCTCTTTATAATCACCAAATATATTTAATAATAAAAGATAAAGTCATAAGACTGTTTGCTCATAATCACCAAATATGGACTGTCCCAAATGTGTGACTATAAAGAGAGTTGACTGTATTTATAAAATAATATAATGTGTCATTATATATTGAATTTTTTATAATTGAAATTTGCAATACAGTTTATTATTAGAAATTGCAATATACAAGTATAATTATTTATATAATGACTGTCATTATATTTATGATGTCATTATATCAAACTAGATTATAACTTTATAAAATTAGTTTATCAAAATTTTGTGTCACAGTCATTATATATTAATATTTATAATAATGTCATTATAACAAGCAAATTTAAATATAGTAAAATTTATTTTTAATAATTTTGTCGTTATAACCATATGTCAGTTTATCAAGATGTAATTATAATGAGCGGCACTTATATATATTTTTGCAGTAAAAAAAAATGAAATTGCTAAGAAAAGGAAAAATAAAAAATGAATTAATGCCAAATCTAAACTTATTTAAATCTAAAATTATATTTGACATATAAACATAAATCTGATTTTTTCTAATAATTTCATCTCTTTTTATTATAAAGGCTTATATAAGTATTTTAATTAAAATTACCTTTTTACTAGTAATTTTTTTAGTAATATATTTAATAATCCAATATAAAGTTCAAAGACTAAATGAATAAAATTAATACAATAGAACTCCGCCTATTTCTAATAAAGGTCTTTGAAAAAAATTTCAAATTTACTAGTAATTTTACTAGTGATTCTATTGGTTAATTGATCTAAAAAGGAAAAAAATCATAACAACTTAGTGTAATATTTCCTTTTTTAGGTGTAATTTATCTATATATAGTAAGATCTTCAAAAATTCTTAATTATAATTTTACCTTGGGTTTCCAGTGACCTATCTTATAAGTAAGCGGAATTCTAATACAATGTATACAATTTAGTCCCAACAAAAAAATTTTTAAGCAGCCAAATTTTTTACATTATGTAATACTTAATCCTGTAATTTTATTGGTCAGATTTATTTAATTTAAATTATAATTCTTAATTCTAACCAAATTTATATAGTTAATAATTAAACAAAGGTAATTTTGATCAGATTTACATATAATTCTGGTTAGAATAAAATAGCCAAATATTTAATTTAATAGTAAAATATTTTAATTTTAAATTGCTATTATTTTATTAAAAAATACTTTACAGGAAATTTAAAAATATAGTTTTATTAATACATTTATACTTTATGTTTATCTTTTTTTTTGAATGAATAGTAGTGATTTAAATTTCATCAAATTTAATTGCTGGAACTAAATTGTATGCACTATAGTCTAAAAAAGTTCTGCAGAAGAAGTCCATTCAAGACTTAGATATCCTAGAAATACAAGTACACAGTCAATCTTGATAAATCGGATCAGTTGGTTCCAGTAAAAATATCCGATATATCAAGACATCCGATATATCGAAAAAGTCGGATTTATATAAAATATATGAAATATCAAGATATCACGTGATTTTTCGTTCAAAATTTTAAAATTCAAAACGAAATATAATTTTATTATTATAAAAGAACTATCTGTTATACACAGGTGAAAGATATCTGATTAAAATATAAAAAAAAGAATGGTAAAATTGTATGGAACATTTGTAAAGAATTTCGGTATAAAATGATTAATTTTAATTCTGGTCAAAATTAACTATTTCAGCTGGAATTAACCATTTTTTTAAAATTACAATAATATAAAGGTATACTAAAAAAGGATAAATTAACGCCAAATTTGGAAAAATTCGATATATCAAGATTTTTTTGATATAACTGATATAGAATCAAATCTGACTTATGAAATATCGTGACTTTACTAATAAAATCCGGTATATCGCGATTGTTTTAATATGATAGATTTTGTTCTGGGAGAAAAATCTGAAATAATACCAAATCCGGTTTATCGAAGATCCGATTTATCGCAATCGCCTATGTACTCCATCTGCAAGCTGAAAAAAGATCAACTATTCAAAAACTAGATATAAGTTTAAAATCTTATCTATAGATTATTCCCATATAAGAAATATCTTAAGAACCTTACGTATGATACTTACCTTCAAGTTAATGGACCTTTGATTTATGAGCAGCCTTTAACACTTAAAAATAAGTTTGTGACTTTTTATTAGATGTCTTGAAATAACAGCAGATTATTTTAATATTTTTAATAATAGGGTTAAAAGAGATATATAAGTTTTAACAAAAGATTGGGTATATGCAAAAATTTTGCAAGAAAGTAAAGAAAAAAAGAAAAAAAAAATTAGGTTTTTAAATAAGAAAAAAATATAATGTGAAAAAATGCATTCAATTTAAAAAAATAAAAATAATACGAAAAGTTCAACAACAGCTAATAATTATTACATGTAAAATGGTTTAAGAAAAAGAAAAAGTTATTTTTAGAATAAAAAGAAATATTTTAAAATAGTAATACACGATTAACTAATTTAAAGAGCAAAATCAATCAAATTAAATTAGTGAAATAATAATATTGCAATTTACTGAAATTAGTAGTCGATCACTCTTATTTAAAGACGCATTCTATTTTGTTATGATTCACTTTTTTTTACTATAATACCTTACAAAATTGTGTTACAAACTTATTAATTGAAAGAAACAGTTCTCAAGAATTACAAATAAAACAAGCTTTATTCAAATAAAATGGATGATAAAATAAAAATTCATATGACATATTAATACTTATAATGAGCTCAACAATTAAAACAAAGAATTCCAGCTTTAATTTTTGTATATTTCTTAGGTTAATTTATTAAACAAAAGGAATTATTGAAGAAGCAAATAAGACAAATTGTCTCTGAACATTACTATTAGATATCAGTTTGAGTTTATTATATTTTTGAAACAAATCCTATTCAGATTTATTATACCGTTAATATTACTGTTAATTTGATAAGATCTTTGAAACAAAATGAAATTAAGCTATTGGTATTAGAAATTTAAAGACTCACAGGAGTTCATTCTTTAAGGGAGGAAGTAAGAAATATAGCACAGTAATTTTATGTAAATCATTTTGTAGATCATTTCATAGATCTCTTAATTTTTTCAATTTTCTTGATTTTCTTAATTTATTTGATAAATCTGATAAATTTGATATATTTAATTTATTTATTTTATTAATTTTATTTGTTATAAATTATAATTATTTTATTTTACTTATTTATTTTATTTATTTTATCAAATATTCTTATTTTTTTATAAATAGTGTTAGAACTTTACTCAGTTTGAAGAGTAGATAATTTGAAAATAGTTTTAAGATAGTTTTAATAGTTAAAAATTGTATTGTAGTATTCAAGTTATATGAAAAAAGTATTATTCCCAATAGTATAATTCCAGATAGTTAATTTTACAAACAAGAGATTATTTATATTTTTTGTATCTAAATTCTTACATTATTTTAATAAAAACCTATTTTCTTTAACTAAATATCCAACATCATTTCATATGATTATTTATAATTAACTTAAAACTTTCCTATTAAATTAAACTTTAATTAACCTATTAAAGTGTTAAAGTTTTTCAATTAACTTTAATTGTTAACAGATAACAGTAGCAATGCGCTCCTCTTTTTTGGTATAATAAATATGTTGATCATTTTTTATTATATAATATCATTAAATTTTCTGATTTTTGAATAAATATTATATAAACTTTATGTATATACAGTATTATAAAGCTTTTAAAGATATATACTATGTGTATTTTTACTTGCTCTACAACTTTACTTAAAGACTAAAGTATGATTTAAAATGGTGTTTTTGATTTTTATATATGAGATATTATAAAGAATGCATTACAATACACCTGCGTATAAAATTTAAACCATTAAATATATATAAGTTAGTAATGTTATACCGTATTCATCGGAAAATAAGCAACCCCCGAAAATAAGCAACATGGGCGGAATTATGGCATTTTCTGGCCCGCATTACTAAATCTTGGCCTACATTACGTGCAAAAGTTGTTGCTTATTTTCCGATGAATACGGTAAATGTTATAATATAATAATAAGACCATGCTTATAAAAAAAATAAAATAAATAAATAATAATCCATATAAAATTACAAAATTTTAAAATTATTAACAAAATTATTTAAAAATGAAAAATATTTTAAATTTATTATTTAATTTTTATTATAATTTTTAAAATTACTATAAATTGCCAGTATTATGTAATGTTCAATAATATATAATTTATTACTTTACATTATACTCTTCTTATTTCTGTTTTTACTATGTATTTTAAGGACTTAGAATTTTTTTTAGTATGAAAAATCCTATTTATCATCCTTATTTATCACATATGTAATTCCAGCCAAATTTTATAATTCTAGCCAAAATATTCTTTTTTAGACACTTGAGTAATATTATATAATCCAAAAAAAAAACAATTTTATTTCTTACAAAAAATGGAAAATGAAGTTTATATAATATTTCAAAAAAGGCAATTTTTATGTCAATCATTTAATTTTAGCCAAAATTAAAAAATCACATGACACTAGTAATGATTGCTGTTCCAATTTAATTATTTGTTTAACGTCTAGACCTTTTGAAAAAATTAAGGGAGGAGGGGGTATAAGTTAAACAAACTAAATAAATAAACATAGAAAAATTTGAAAATTTCAAGCAAAATTTAAAGGGAATATTTATTAGGCAATTTCTATTTGTACACGGGGTGTTTAAACACGGGTCATATTAGTAGATTAAAAACGGCATTCAAAACCTCCTTTAATGCCTTAAGTAAACTTGCAGAGCAGGTGAAAATACATATATTTATCTGTAATATAATAAGAATAAAAAGTAAAGGAGTATAATGTCAGTAGCATTCAATTTCAAATTAAAAAACAAAAAATTAGTCTATTAAAAATTATATTTATATGACCTGTGTACAAACACCCCGTGTAAACTTAGAAATTTTCTTTTATTAATTATTATTTTATTTATTATCTACATATTTTTAATTGTAAATTATAAAAATTGGCAGTTTAATATATATTTAAAATTATTAATTTTTTTATTGATAATAAAAAAAAAAGATTATTAATTTCGGTAAATTAGAAATTAAATTTATCAATCTACAAAATCGCATAACGTATATCGTTTCACAAGGATCACCTAGTTTTTCTAGCACTAACATGGTGATGAGTTGGATCTTTTAAATCACGATATGACCGGCTAATCAAATTATTGTTTTTCTTTAGCAAAGTGCGTGAATTTGTTTCACGCAGTCACATGATTTTTTCTTTTAAAAGGTGGCGATTCCGGTCAGGCTATTTTTTCATTAATGTATTATTATTTTTTCTGAGGCACAAAATAGGACTGAGAGAGAATATTGATGGGTTGCCAGAATTATATAAAAATTTTCTTTAACGCTATTATTACAGGTATAAAATATGAATTTATTTTGATAATTTACAAATTTTACTTCTCGTTTTTCTCATTTATCTGTTCTACATAAAACACTCATAAAACTCTGCTTAATATAAGATCTTGTGTAAATTTACTACTCGTTTAAGGGTTTAATATTAAATAATTTCCGCCAATAGTCGGTTACAAATATTTGATCTGGATCCATTTCATTTCTGATTTCTAACCATTTAGTTAGCTTTGGGTAGCGGCTGTGTAAGAAGTCAATACCGAATGTATATTTTCCATACTTTTTACCAGGTTCTGGCATATGTTTTCCCCAATGCAACCTAGCACCATCTATCGGTAATAATAAATTCCAATAATTTTCAAAATATTCGCGAGGATCACCAACGTTATATGTCCACCAATATGGATCTACTCTAAAAACGTCACGACCAAAAGATGGGCTCATCCAATAAGGAGATTTTTTAGCACCATAGAGTTCTATCGCAAAATTGCCAGCATATGAGGGATGTTTATCAAATAATTTCTCTAATTTCTGCATCGTAACGTCAATTTTATCCAATGGAACCCAAATTTCTGTGAATGTAGTTTTCAATAAACCATCAACATCTGCTTGATCGTCATTAGGTAAAGCTTTATACCAGTGATCTCTAAATGAAGAAGGTTTTTCATAAAGAACTGGAATAAATTGATTAAGATAATCCGCGATTATTTTTTGGGCTGTTTCATCATATTCATATATTTTCATTAAATTGTTAATACCACCAAGGACTATAGTCAACATGATGGACGTTCCTAGGTCTTTTATTGGATGATTATATTCCAGTACTTCACCCTGACTAACTTGTTTTCCGTACCATTCTATAGTACGTTTGACTCCTTTTTGCGGAAACCAATTCATGTGAAAATATTCTTTATTTCTTAGAGCATTTAATAATTTTTCATAATGTCCATTTTGACTCACCAATGAAGATTTTTCGAATTCTTTATTAGATTCTTCTCCCTCTACTAAATATTTTTTAGGCAATTTAAAACTTGCCCTAGTAATTATCCCAAACAATCCCATAGATACTACTGAAGCGTTAAACTTATCCTCTTCTTCATTTCTATTTAAGGTAACAACGTCTCCTTTTCCGTTGACAAACTCTATTTCTTCTAAAACATCGCCAATAGTATGACTCAAAGACCCACCCGCGGTAGAGGTTTGAAGAAAACCTGCTATGGTTTGATGGCTCATACCACCTAAAATAGGGAGAGCAAGTCCTTTCTCATTGACTTGATAGTTAAAAGAAGTTTGTTCGGATGAATTCTCGTCAGAAGGATCAATTCCTAATTTGCATCCTGCTCCTACATTAACATACCCAGTATTAGAATCTATACTGTGAACCTTAATAAGTTCCCCTCCCAAAGTTACGTGAATATGGTTATCGTTTTGAGCATAAATGGCTTCCTGAACCGAATGTCCAGCCCCCATAACACGCACTGTCGCACTTTTAGAGCGAGCAAAGTCAATCAAATTTTTAACATGATTCACATTCTGCAAGTGAAAAATCCCTTTCTTTCTAGGAATATCTTTTAACGCATCATCGTCCAAATACTTTTGAGATGACGAATCCTGAATGAACTTTAAATTTTTCAACTTAAAAGTAATGTCATTAATTTCCTGAGCTAAAGATTTTGAGGGTAATGGTCTATTATTAAATGCGCGAGAACCAAACCTCAGACTTTTAGAAAAGAGAAAGAGAGGATGAATTCTTGAAGATTGAAAGAACATGATAAAATAAATTAATGTTTAAAAATGAAATGTTGGTATGTATAAATACTTGTTCATAAAAAATTCAATATCGCTTTTAATGTCTTTATTCGCATACATAAGGATAAATTGCATCAACAAAATTTACGGTAACTGCTTTTGTCTTAATTTGAGACTTTAATGATATCGTATTCATTTTGCCCTTTTTAGATAATGATAAAATAAAGATGACAACTGCCAAGCTTTGCTGGAATTTCTCTCAATTTTTAAGATATAAATAAATGCGGGGTAATACACAAAATGATTGTCATCTAAAAAATTTTTAGTATGTAAAATGACCAATGATCCATTCTGATTGTACAAATGGTTTTTTCTCTAATGAAAGCAGGTTTTATTATACGCAAACTGATTTGGCGTAGATAGAATACATTAACAGTTAAATGAAAAAGAGCGCCTTAATGGTATTAACATTAAACACACGAAATAAATCATAAGAACTGTGATATAAGCATATGTAGTAAAAGAAATTTTTTCACGTTATACTTTTATCTGAAAATAGGCTGATACTAAGAAAAAAATTAATTTGTTAGTATTGCATTTTCAATGTTCGCATGTATTATAGGCGCAGTATATTACACATAAAATAATTCACAAATTTAAAACCAATCAAAATCTTTATTATATCTTTGTAAAATATTATGTGAGAAAGGGCTGGCTGGCTAAGTAAAGATGAAAGTAAAAAATAATAGAGTAGCAGGTTGTTTCAAAAAAGGAAAGGCATAAAAGAACATGCCTGCTTGATAAGCCTGCTGAGCCCTAGCTCATATACTGGCAGTTTTTTTCCTGCTACTCTGGATTGTTATTTAAGTTATTATTTAAACTACATGTAATTTCTTTAATATCTATCCATCTCATAATTGACATTACTGTGTTAAATTTTGGATCCCCTTCACCATAATAAAAGCTTTTCACAGTGCCTTTTCCAATCTTTTTTCCAGCAAGTTCATGAATTTCACATCTCACAGTTTCAAGTCTTTGGGCAATTGTATAATATTGAATCATTTCATTTCAGAGAGTTTTGATAGGATCTCGCTTACTTATAATATAGGTCACCCCCAAGCCTAAGGTAAAAATCATATATAAAATTCTTCACAGATCCTACTATAAAAGGAAATTTTATGTTACATTGTTATGATTTTTTTTCCTTTTTAGCTAATTAACCAACAGAATTTAAGAAAAAAGTAAGGTAAAAACTATTAGTAAAGGCCAATTTTCTACGGTGACCTTTATTATAAATAAGCAGGGTCCTGTTTTGATAAAAACATTGAAGTTAGATGAAATTCTGCCAAATTCAATTGATTTTATCAATTTCTCCTGAATTTTTTATTAAATTCATTATTGATTCTGCTGATCTCTGCAGTAAAAATAGAATTATTAACTTCAGAAAGATATGCAGAAAGTTTATTGGCAATTTTAATAATAATTTTTATGCTAAGTTTTTTGTAAATAACAGTAAGAGAATTTTCACAGTAATACTTCCATTATGTGCCTTACTTTTTAATTTCTGCAATGAAATTAACATTAATTTCAGATATATATGCAGAAAGTTCATTAGCAATTTTATTATCACAAGTAGAGAGATTATTGGAGAATTAGTTTTTGATAATATAAATCAAGAAACATATGCTAAGAAAAATAAAAGGTATAAAGTCTTTAAAAATATACCACAAGGTGTTGCTTTAGAATAGGATTTTACTTACTTATAAGATAAATTACTCTTAGGAGGATTGGAAAAACTACTAATAAAGGTCACTGGTTTTTTTAGTTCGAACTTATAATTAATTTTCAAAAAAATTACCGTAAAAATAATTAATAAAAGTCACATGTTGGTTTGCAAGAATAAGAAAATTTGAGTGAAGATTTTTCCTTTTTCTGTTTTTGAAGCAAAAATATCATGTGAATTATACTTCTCAATAGAATTAAAAAGTCAATATCAAAATATTACGGCATAGCCAAAAACAATTATGTCAGTACAAATATTTACTAATAAAATATATAATTACAGCAAATTACAGCATTTTAATTACGTCTGTCATAATTCAAAAATTCAATTCCGCTGATAAGTATAATGTGAATAAATAGCTAATTGACCAATCATAAGATGGTTCATATTTATATGATTTTCTGAATTTTTTCTGGTAACCTTTATATATAGTTTCCCAGTTCTCTCTCAGGCCTAAGGTAAAATTCTTTGCAAATTTTACTATAAAAGAAAATTTTATATTACATTGTTATGATTTTTTCCTTTTTAGCTAATTAACCAATAGAATTTAAGAAAAAAGTAAGATAAAAATCATTAGTAAAGGGCTAATTTTCTACAGTAATCTTTATTATAAGTAAGCAAAATTCTTCTAGAACTTACCTACTATTATCTAAATAATCTTCATTTTGTGTAATAGTATATTTATTCAATAATTTTATAAATAACATATTCTCAAATTTTACAAGATATGTCACCAGTAGAAATTTTACTTTTATATGAAACTTTATCTTAAAATTTGTTCAAATTCTAAAAAATTATAACAATGTAACATAAAATTTTCTTTTATAATAGGATTTTTAAAAAGTTTTATATAAAACTTTACTTTAGACTATAGGATGACCTAGAACCTCCACTTACTTATAAAATAGGTCATTATAAGTCTAAGGTAAAAATTATATATAAAATTCTTTGCAAATTTTACTATAAAAAAAAATTTATATTACATTATTATAATTTTTTTTTTTTTAACTAATTAACCAATAGAATTTTAAAAAATGTAAGGTAAAAATCATTAGTAAAGGGCCAATTTTCTACAGTAATCTTTATTATAAGTAAGTGGATTCTAGTAATCTATCTGCAAAATGAAAGCAAATATAATTTCAAAATAAAACTAATGTAAAGTAAAAAAAAATAAGATTGGTATTGTAGATTTATTTATATTATTTTTTATCAATGTTTTATAAAAGCATTTACTTATTAAACAGATCTGTAATTCTTTATATATACATTTTTATAATAAAAAATTTGTATTTATTCATTGATTTTTATATTACAATTTTAAAAAAAATTTAGAAAATAAAAAAATACTTAAAAAATATTAGAAGAAAAGTTATAATAATTTATTTTATAAATTTTATCAATTTTTAGCTATGAATAATAAATAAATAAACAGCATATACAGTCAACTCCCTCTATAGTCACTCCCGTTATAGTCACATTCTACTATATAGTCACACCAGTTGAATGTTCAAAACACTTTATTATTAAAAACTATCCTATATAGTCACAATCTATCTATAGTCACTATCACACCTATCC